TGTTGAATTATTATTGATGGAAGAAATTGAAAAAAAAATATTAAAATGCATATATTTTGGGTATAAGAGCATATTTTTGCATATTATTAAAAAAAAATAAGAGCATATCAAGTACATATTTTGAAGTTTTTTTATGCATAAATGCATACTATTTTGGCCTTTTTGAGTGCATGCAAATCCGGACTCTAGTTATGAGCATTCTTAAATGTACAATGTACAATTTTAGAATGCTCATCACACGCTTTAAAATTAAAATATAAAAAAAACCTATGCCATCCATTAGATAATATTCTCACTTCTAAATTTGGTAATAGTTCACTCTAAAATTATTAAACATAACAGAGTTAAATTAATTATTCAGAACGTATAATTTGCTATCTTATGCATTTTTACAACAAAGACAACACATGCAGGTATGGTGTCCTTTTGAAGAAATAACATTATTGGTACATATCACATTTGGATGACCTGTTGAATGTTAGTTGTTTTTATTATTAATTTCATAATTATTGTGAGAGTACTATCCATCATCAATCCTAACCAAGTAAACATATTTTATTATCATTAAAAATGTGGGAGTCTCCTTAATATTGCAAAGTGACCAAAGAGCCGTGGGATAAAAAAGTTTAAATATCTCTGATTTAAATAATACTATGAATGTGAGTATGTATTTAAACATTCAAATAAAATTTAAATCATTTTATGTAGCTATCGTATGAAATTGGATTAATGGTGAGATGAGATTAGTATTCAAATTTAAAATATTAAATTTGCTAGTTTAATATTCTTATAATTTTACAACCTTAGCCTAACTTTATACTAGCTGGTAAGCTCTGTAGTTGTACTAAATTTTTATTAATTTATGTGGTTTGTTAATAGGTCGGAAAAGAAATGTTGTCAATAAAGAGTAAGGAAGGAGAAGGGCAAAGCTTCAATCTTTTAATGGAGTTATTAAGAGGCGATCATTAATAGTTATTATTATTATTATTATTATTATTATTATATAAACGTCTGTGAAAGTATTTCTAAGTTTTTATCAGTAATATTTGTCTAAGAAGTTATGATTTCTGTAAATATTTAGTAATATTTAATATATTAGATTTGTGTACTAAACCTACACAATTCTAACTGTTTTTATGACATTTTTGGTAATTTGTACCTCCATTCTATTATTATTGGATTAAACTGAAATCTAAAAATCTTAGAATTGTAATTTGTAGATATATTTTTCTAATTTTAATATTTTTAAGTATGAAGAAAATTATATTTAAAACATAAATTCAGAACAGTCTGAATACTGTGATCTTAAAATAGAATTAACATAATGTGTGTAAATAATGAATATAATAATTAAAAATCTCCAATTATATGTAGTACAGGGTTTTATTGTTAAAAAACTCATTTTTTTTTCAAATTCTATCAGTGTTCGGTATTAGTTATTCGTTTAGAATACCTCGTACTTAATAATATAATACACAGTGATGGGCTGGCTGTCTTCTATTTCAATAGATTGTACTTAATTATTATATTTCTATTTTCTATGTTATATTATTCATATGTATTCTGTCTACTTATCATAAAATGTTTACCAAAATTGAAAATCTTAATAATAGTTTATGAACCATTTAATTAATGTCTGTTTTAATCAGAAGTATTTGACAATGATATATTTAACTATGTTTGTGTGCAATAAGTTACGTTACCAAAATTAAATTTACATGTTTCTTTGTTTTATTTTCTATTATTGAAATTTTATTGTGCCCATCACTTTGGAAAAATATTCCTTTTGCTAATATTTTAATTTTTAGTATAAAAACGTAAATTTTTAATTTATTTGTATGGTAAGTTTTTAATATATATGATTTATATGTTATTTACATTATTTAAAAATGAAATTACATTATTGATTACCTTCTGTATTTTTTTTTTTTTCATAATTTTTTACATCTGTTTAATTTAATTTTTGATAAATCAACGACAAACTATGTATAAATAAAGCAATAAATTAAACATACTGATATCATAGTTTGTATATTTAGTAGACATTGACGTAATCGAAATCTAAGCAATATTTTATTATAAGACAATTATTGTGTGTGCATATATGTACATGTAGATGGACACTAATTAGGTATACCTACTACCTAATTAATATGTTTTTATACAGTTGATTAATTAATTCAAAACAAATAAATACATTTTATTTTTTACATTGTTTATTTTGTTATCCTTAATTTAACATTAAAATATTAAGTACACTTTAGTATGTGTGTAGCTTCAGAGTTGTTAAAGGTTACAACGGTATAAGCGTATGGACGTAATTAGAAAGTGTGAATCCAATTGTTCATTGTGATTGGAAAAATTTAAGTATGAAATGTAATTATGTTACAATTACAAGTATAAAAATTTAAACTATACAAGTTCTCTGTAAAACAATTTGACAAATTCATCTTCATAATTTGGATATTTATTAAAATTGTTAATTATATACTTCTTAATTTATTTATTTAAGTAATGGATGTATATAATTTACTAATCTAATCAGTCTGACTGGGCAGGAGTTTCTTGAGTTTGCCTCTAAATTACCCTTATTTAATGTTCCTTGTAAGCCCGGAATGAGGTATCACCCGAATGTGTTTCAAAATATGCTTTTTCCATCTGCAAAACTTGCAATACACAGATCACAGTCAAACACTTCATTACAGAATGTCATATTATGTACTAACAGGAGCGCACAAATCTCAACTTAGCGGAAACACTCGATGAAATTCTTGGACCAAACCCCGATCAAAATATGAAAATTATAACCTTCTAAAAACTAACCAACCTTTTAGATAAAATATGATTGTAATTGTAACTGTTATTATAATGTTAACATAATGTAAACTTCAAAAAAATTGTAAAAACTGTAATTAGCATTTAAGAGATTAACTAATGGCCTTTGCTGCCGTGTTATATATAAAGATCAATAAAAAAATTTTTTTTTAAATAATCAAATATGTAGTGCATGATAAAAATTAGGCCTATCCTCCTTATGATAAAATAATTTGACGAGCACGTGACAACAAAATGTTTGGGTGCCATGTTTTAATACTGTAGAAAAAAAAAAGTAAAATGAATAATTTATAAAGGATTAATAAAAGGTATAGGTATATATATACATCATATGATAATTGATACATTTTAAGTTGTTGAATAAAAGTGAATTTGCATGTATATACAGCCAGGTCGTTTAATAAAAGTTAAAAATTAATGATTTAAGTACGCCATTCACATAATGAGTAGGGCTCGGATCTCGGAAGTTGATGAATGATGACCTTAAAAACATTAAAAAATGACCTAAAAAAATATGCAAATATGACATCAAAATTACAAATATTTGTTTTAAATTAATAAAAATACATTTTTTAAATCTATAAAATACAATATATGTACATAAAACATACTACATATTTTGTCAAAGCTTACGAATTATTATATTGATGTTATCAAAAGTAAATTACCAACGATTATCTGTTAATAAATATTTATATTTGGAGAAACTTCTTTCCACGTCCACTAAAGTGATTGGGGCAAATCTGAAATGGGCCAAATCTTCAACACTGAAAATTGAAATCATCCGGAAAACACTCACTTGAAGCTTCTTCGCCATTTAGAATTTTAAAAATTGTATTTTTGACAAGTACAGCCTTAAATTTGTTTTAAATTTAATTTTCAATTATATTAACTGCCGCTGATTAAATTTTAACAACAATATCTTGTACAATTTGTATCGAATCATAAAGACTGAGCCCCAAAGTTTCTAACTTGGTAATAGATTCGGCCAGAGTTCCATAGTTGGTGTTAATCTAAATTAAATTACGTTTACATTTTCATCATCGCTCATAAGATTCTGTGCTTTTTCAATTAAAGTAGAATCGTCTTTGTTTCGACCCATTATAATAATAGTTTTCAAAAATTCAAAATGTTCACAAAAATAAGTAGCATCTGTTAAGTGTTAACCATGTATCCCATCTTGTCAATACCGGTTGTGGTTGTAAAAGAATATTAGCTAGGTACCTAGGTGTCATTTCCTTAAAATATTTTAAGATATGTACTTTAAAATAACACGGATGGACATTTAAAAAATATTGTTTTGATGTTCGTTATTAATTGATCTACTTTTGGGAAGTGTTTTCAAATCTTTTCTACAACCATGAGTACCACTGTAATCCATGAGCCAAACAACTTACATGTTATCAGAACGTGTTTTTACTATTGTTTGATTTTAGAATATTTATATATTAACTAATATTTTCCCCCGTAAGTTGACGATTGGCATAATAATAAATGTTTTCGTCCGAGGCCCTTGTTGGAGGGGAGTCAAAGGGAGAATCCCCCCTCCAAACACTGTAGTTATGTTTTAGCCAGTGTTTTTTACTGTACTACTGTATGTTGTAAATTGTTTTGTTCTTATGAGCACCGAGCACCGTGCACCTCCCAAAAGAAAGAAGAAATTAAGCACAAAATCCGCCACTGATTAGCTGTTGAGTTAGGTAAGTTTAGGGGTAATTGGAGTAGGTGCTTCTTTGTCCAATATGGCAATATGTATTTAGTATAGTTAAAATTATTGTAATATTTATTTTAAATCTTAGGTGGGTAATTATTGTTTTAATATTATTATTTATTACTTATTAGGTACCTAAGTCTCAAAAAACTAAAATCATTCAGCAATAAGAATTTCCTCTTTCCACTAATCCAAGGATCCGTATTCGCATAATAAATATTAATTACTCATAACCGTACACGAATACACGATATCTTTACAAAATATGAATTTGAGAACCTGAGTGTTAGGTAAATTGTAAATAGCAAATCGAAAACGTAAGAATGCGAAGAGTGGAATAAGACGTGATCAACGATGATTGTTTTCTAACAAACTTCGGCCTTTATTTTGTCACGTTGGACACCCTGATAACCGCATCCCTCGTGTTATCAATTTTATGGCGCATTTTTTACGGTAGTCCGTAGGTAATCAATTAATGTAAAAATGTGAAATGTGGAGAAGATTAAAGGAATGTCGTTACTTGTCTCGTGTCCCATTTACTACTTTACTCATTACTCGGAACTCGCACAACGTCACAAGGGTCAGACGGTGGTCTGACACTCTGATCACTCGGAAATCACATTATGACGAGATGACGGTGATTCAATCAAAATATTGAACTTACCTGTCCTGTAATGTTGATTATGATTTAGCTGGCGTGAGTCGTGAATACTCGTGATGATAATCAGTTTTAGTGCTGTGACATTGAATTTCGTTAAATATAAACAAATATGTAAGCCTTTTTGTGTTTGACTGATTTAGTTATTTCGTTAATGTGATGATAAACTGCGACAAATGTTAATAATAGTATGGTTGAAGTTTTTCTAAACAACGTTTAATGATTGCTGATAGATAAATGTAAAATGTCTGCCTTTCCACAAGTTGAGGGTTATCAAATAATAAAAAATATTGGAAAAGGAAGTACGTCGACTGTGTATCTAGCTCATGTAAAGGTACTTATACTCAAATTTATTTTAAGTTGCAATAGATTCTATGTTGATCAGGAAAATGTAAGCTAGATGAGTACATGTTTAAGTAATTTCATTGTCAATTTGGTCTTATAATGAGAATTAAATTTGAAATAAGACATTTTTATTTTTACCACTGTATTTAGTACAAAATATTATCTATTTCTTTATGTGTAATCAGTTATTACTGTGATCATTGATTTACTGATGTGGAAACTATTGAACTTACAATTATTGGTTTTAATTTCAGGAAAAAACCAAAAATATGGTTGCAATAAAAGTTATAGAACGCAGTAAATTATCCAAGAGCGCGGAGGATGCTGTAGTAACAGAAATAGGGGTGATGAAGAAATTCAAACATAAACACATTGTTCAAATGATTGATTTTATTTGGGATCGTAAAAATATTTACATTATTTTGGAGCATTGTGATGGTGGTGATTTGTCAACATTTATTAAACAACGCAAAAAACTATCTGAAAAAGTATGCCGTAAATTCATGCAACAGTTAGCTTTAGCTTTGCAGTTCCTAAGATCTCATAATGTTTGTCATCTCGATCTTAAACCTCAAAATCTTCTCTTAATGAGGTCACCACAACTAACTTTGAAGGTTGGAGGTTTGTACTCACAGTTACTTACTGGTCATTTATGTTTGAATAATAATAATGTTGGTATTAATTTCTTATAACTTACATTTACATTTTCGATTTTTAGATTTTGGCTTAGCAAATTTTATGAGTGAAAAAACTCAAATGGAAAATATTCGTGGTTCACCTCTATATATGGCTCCTGAAATGTTACTACTCAACCGATATGATGTGAAAGCAGATCTTTGGTCAGTTGGAGTGATTGCTTATGAATGTATATATGGACGTGCGCCGTATGCTTCAGATTCTATAAAAGACTTATGTGAGAAGGTTAAAAGAGTCTCACCAATAGAAATACCACCTAATCAAGTCAGTCCAGAGTGTAGAGATTTATTATTAGGTCTACTCAAACACAATCCATCTGAGCGTATGAGCTATCACCAGTTTTTTAAACACCCATTTGTAGACTTAGATCATATGCCTACTACCGAATCATATGCTAAAGGACTTGAAGCTATTCACGAGGCAGTAAAACTAGATTCTGAAAAGCAATATAAAGCTGCATTTAATAAATATTGCACAGGTCTGCAGTATTTGATTCCTTGTTGTAAAAGTAAGAATCTAGGATTTATAATTATAGTATTTATTTATATACTTAAGACAAAGTATAGTTGTGGGAAAATGAATGAGATTATACTTCACTAATTTATTTATTTTTTGTTTTAATATACCCATCTTTTATAATTTGGTATCTGTGATTGTTCTTATGTATTAAATAGTTTGAGAGAATCACTAAAATAAAAATAGTTGGAACTCTTATAACTTTTATAACAGTCTTACTTATAATTTATATATTAAACTACAACAAACATTAAAGTAGGTTTAATATGTAGTAAAAAAGTTTTTACACTCTACAAAAATGTCTTAAACTAATCTGTTGTTGTAATTTAATTCAGATTTGAACTTACATTTTTCTTGTACTTCTTTAAGCTTGAGGTTCAAAGAGTTTGAGAACCTATCTACAATTTACTTGTAGTAAATGTCTAATCTTACATAAGTACAACATTCAGCAGAATCAATTATATTTTAAATGTTTGTAAGACTGAAACACATAGTAAGAAGATTGAAGACCTTAATATTAGCCATATATTGGCTTATATAAATACATTTTTAAAATTAAATGTTATCTTAATACTCCAAAACTACAAATTAATTTAAAAATAAAAAACAAAATCTGTTAAAAGAGATACGTGGGATATTTATAAGAATACTTTCTTAGTAGTTTTTACTTTAAAATGTAGGTAATACATAAGCATAAGACACTATGTTATATTATAATATATTGTGAAATTACTATACTTATATTTTGTTTAGATGAACCTGATAAAATTAAGAAAGAAGCATTTCAAATAAAACTGAATGAGTACACTAAGCGTGCTGAAGAATTGAAAGCCACTTTATATGTTTCAAGGATCAAAATTAGTAGTGAAGAAAAAGCAGAAAACTCTCCAACATCATATGAAGATGAGCGTTATCCTACATTGAGTAAAAATATATTTGAATTAAGAATTTTAAAATATTTAAAATAATTTATATTATTTTGGGATTTTGGTCAGTAATCTTTACAAATTGTAATAGTAAGCTGTTAAATTTGTTTAAATTAAGTTATACACTTACCAACTGGAAAAAATAACTATCACATAAAAATTATGTTTTTTATTATCATATTACATGGTTAAAAGTTTTTTTCTCGTATAATTTCACAATTTTTTTGACTCCATATTATATAGCATAGTTTGACACTTAATAGTACATATAAATCTGCTCTCTAATTATAATATGTCAAGTCAAACTTATTTTTGAATTATTTATATTTTATAAATTGACCAATTTATTAGGACTCAAAATATAGCAAACAAAGATCCTTATCTCATTATATATACCTTATAAAGTTTTATCTCTATAAAACATAAATCTATGAAAATAATTTTTTTCGGGCCAAAAATATTCTTCAACAAGTTCACAGTATTATAAATAAGAGAAATTAGAGTTTTTCCTATATTATCTATTATTGTATTAAATTGTTTCCTTTTTACAGCAACGTTATGTCAAAACACACCTCAATTAGCTAATGCTATAGAAATTGCACTATCTGGTCAGATGTATTTAGTCGAAGGACAATATGAAGCAGCTGTTGAAAAGTATAAGATTGGTTTGAATTTGCTGGAGAAGCTTTTAGAAAAAGAACCTCCTGGTATTCGTTATAATTTACTTATCAAACAGGTATGTTCAAATTAGAAATGTTCTAAGATTATGGTATATTATGCTATAAGTTTAGTGTAGGAGATATATGTACATTATAATTAGTATATTTATGATTTATTGATTTCTTAGGTGACTGATTGGACAAATCAGTGTGAAAATGCTATGTCATTATTACAGTCCAAAGATGACAAAGTCAATGATCAAGCCGTTGATGTTCCTGATGGATTTTCACCTATATCTAAAGGTAAAATAGATAAGAAGTCTCCAAAATTGTTCCGTGTAGTTAGTAGACTAGTTCTGAGAGCAAACAATAAAAATAGCTCTTCTCCTGAAAAAAAATAGAACTTCACTATCTACCTAAATTAGTTTTTTAAAATTATGTAGCTTTTTATTGAATAATGTTTCATGCTATATTTGCAGGTAATTGCCTGTTAATGAGTTGCACATGTTTGATTTTACTTGTTGGTATTGTTTGTATGTCAAACTTGAAATTATTTTAGTTAAATTAAATTAATATTATTTGTGAATTAAGAGGGTATAACAGTAACAATTTTAAGATGTTTGGTGTATAGATTGTTTTTTTAAAATCCAAACTGAAGAATAAAATACATTTCAACATTTAAAGAAAATTATTGATAGTTTCCAATAGGTTTATAATAACTTTGATTGCTGCTTAGTCTCAACATTTTGTCTGGTAAATAGTTTTATATTTATCCCAATAGATTAAGTAATACTTTACAATTGTTATGTTACCTGACCCTGACGATGAGTGATTACAATTAAAAGTTGGAAACAAATCTCCACTGCCTCTCTGCTATTAATAAAATAGTTTCAGTAACATTTGTTACCCTCTAAAGTCCTTTCCTGAAAAGGATATTAAGCTTATTGCCTTCTTAAAATCCTTGTATTATGCACTTTCACTGTACTTACAAAAAAGTTTATATTTCTAATTGATATAAAGGCAATTTTATACTGAGACAAGTAATGATTTGTGATATAGATAATATTATGCATAGCTGTTAGAAAAAGTTACTGTTGCGTTCTCTTAAGTTTAGGATCTGTATAGTAATATTTTGTATTTCTATCAAAAAGACTGAAAATCATTTTAAATTGTGAAAATGTAAATAATTTATTGATGCGAATGTTATTTAATATTTTACAAATATGTTTAATGTATGTAATGTTCATAATTTTTTTTTAAATGTTCATCTATTTTTGTAATTTGTTATAGTTGTTATATTCTATTTAAAATGTTAATTACACATATTATGTGATTGGTGAAAAATAAAATACATATTTTGTTTCAGATTCCTGTGTAATTCAATGAATTGTAACGGAATCTAAATGTTATTTTTATCCTTTTCTACTTGCCTGCATCTATTTCAAAACATGACTTGCATATTTTAGACTGTGATAATAACCTAATCAGATTTATAAAATGTTATTGTTTTTTTTTTATATATATATAATTTTATTTATAAATCATATAATATATATATATATATATTTGTTTTGTTAATATCATAGTTTTTATAAATACTTATTTTTTCGAAACTTCTTTATTAGTTACATTATGTGTACACTTATATACTTATAAGTTACAACAAAGTAATTAAGTATGATCTCATACAATCATTTGAGGTTTTTAAATAAATGGTACGTATTTTATCGTATAATTTACTTAAATCATATTTTATTTAAGTTTGTCATCTATAATAGAAAAAGTATAAATTTCAATCTATTTATCTGCTAGTAATATGATAATTCATGAATTAAGAGAGTCCCTTACCCACATTTGTTGTGTCCGGCTTACAAATGTATAACATAGAAAATGTATATTCAGCTGTTCCATTTTTTATATTAGTAAGCTTTAATAACTGATGGCCTATTATCTAACTAGGTTAAAGCATTATGTACATTTTCCTTTTTGATTTTTACAATTATTTTTAAGCGAGTTAAGATAATTTTAGATAAATTCAATATTTAAATGTATACAACTCTTAGAAATTCAAATCTTAAGTTTGATAATTGGCCATTTCACGATATTATTAAAGCTTAGTTGTTTTGTCTATGTATCGCAAGGTTGTTTTTGGCGCTTGAACATGTCAACGGAATATGTTCTGAAATATGGGCCTAAGAATACACTAGGGTTATGTCAACGAAATGGAATATTGAGTACAGAGTATTTGTTAACATTTAGAACATTTAGTGAATTCACAGTAAATAAAAGGCTTGCGTGTGTACCTATGGCGTCCTCTGATAAAAAATATATATTTTCATTAAAAATAATGGGAAAAAACCTCATAAAACAATTACCACATTTAAATAGTTTTAACTTATACAAACAAGGTAAAAAAACTGGGAAGTAGATATCGCTCTGCTGATGTTGTATAGTAGGTTATAAGTGGGTGACTGCATGGATAGTATTAAATTTTAATTCAATGATATAAAATCATTGTATACGAAAAATGAATCAAAGTGAAGTCGGTCTGTAAGCCTATAATATTACTTAGTAATTTAGTTTATTTTGATATTATTGTGATTAAAGTAATTAATTTTACTAGCACTACGCAGTAGATTAAAATCATTTTTACTGAAAAAAATACATTTGAAAAGTTTCATTGTGTGTATAAAATATAATAATATACTTAAAAAGTTTCAAGTACCCACGAATAATATTTTTAATTTACAACAAAATAACAAGGTAAACCATAACCAAAAAAAAACCTGTGCTTATATATTTTTAGATTTTTTGGTTACGGAATAAACTACTTGCTTAGAACTTGGAACTTTGTTTAAATTTTCAGCCCTTATAGCTAACAAGTTGAAAATTTAAAGGTTTTTATAAATATTTAACAACAAAATAATTTGTATATTTCAAATCAAACCTATAATATTTTTTGACTGATATTGTAAAGCCGCCTTGAATTACATTTTCAAGCTTTTTGAACCAATTATAAAGTTTAATTGACGTTAATAAAAAAATGAAAATGTCCGTGAAAAGCTTAGACCGAAATATTTTGAAAATTTTATCAAGTATATGAATTGATGAAATAAACATATGGTGTAACTTTTAAGTTTTAAGTGTCTACAGTTATTCGTTTTTAAATTACAACAAAATAGGAAAATCGATGTATGAGAAAGCGAGTGAATATCAAATTTTGAAAAAATTCACCTTCTAACGCTCATAAATATTTTATTTAACTTTCCAATGGAATTTTTTTTTTGACAAAGGTAGGTACATAAACTTATAAGGAATCTTGTATTAAATCTTAAAATCTTAGACATAAAAAGAATATTTTTATGAATTTCTAACTAAAAATAAATTGTTATTTTTCGTGATTTTTATGAATTTCGTCAAAATCCTAAGTTCTGACTCTCATAAAAATTATTGTGGTCTGTGGATTTACTCTCAACTTTTTTTAAAATTTCCATTGACTACAACTCACGAGAAAACTTTGATTATATTTTCAAGTTATTTGACACAGCGAAAATTTTGTTTATCGACATAGTTTGAAAGAACTAATAATTATCGAAAATTTCAAGTACTTATATATACGAGATTCAATAATAATTATTAAATAGTTCTTATTCTATACTAATAATTACTATAATGCAATTTAAACTCATAGTGGTCTGTAACATTATTTTAGGATCTCAAAAGTACCATATCAAAATTAATTGAAATATATATTAAGAACTATTTAACAGGTATCATTTCATTTATAAATTTATTTATTTTAGATATATTATATTGTGACTTTCTGTGAATTCACTCAATGTTAGTAAATCCACTGTACTTAATATTCCATTTCTTTCACATAGCCATAGTGTGTTCTTAGGTCCATATTTCAGAATATAAGCAGCGGACTTGGCAATTGAAATTTGACTTGAAAAACAAAAAATTAATTTTTGATGGTTACTTATTATTTATGTGGTATAATATTAAAATATAGGTAGGTATAGGTCAATATAGCCTATTGATTAATATTAAGGGATATTAAAATACCGACCGTTTTTAAGGAATTGAATATAGACAATTTGCTATGTTTGTCCATGTGGGTCGTGTTTATAAATGCGAATTTTAGCGAAACACTGAAACCTAGTTTCGTATTTCAAATAATATGGTTTACTGAGGGACATTATAATATGAATATTTACTATACAAATCGAAGAGAATAAGTTTATCAAAGCCCGTTTAACAGTTGATTTTCGATACTTTATTTTCAATATTTAGCTCCAAAACTTGTGATATTTAAATTTTTAAATTTGGATTATTGATTTCAGTAATTTAAACATCGAAAATTGACTTTTATACAGTCACAGATTCACTTCTCTTGTACAATATTGATGATAGGTGTTTTAAGGGGCTGGAGCGCGACGTGTATTAACTGTTTTAAGGAGTAATATTTGGGCATTTCATACAGCAATTATATTTGAGCTGTGTTACTGTGTGAGAAGTAAATTAATGTTAGTGTGTGTAGTTTGTAAAATTTGTTATTGAATACAGGGCACAGATGGCTCACCACCAGCATATCAAATTCCGCATGCGCTGGCACATGTCAATGATACAGAGTTTATCAAATATTTACCATAATATTCAAATGATAAAATGCCAAGAAGCTAGACAAAATTGAAATTCTTGGATTCGACTGATTTTAATTTTGAAAATGGATATTAATTAGGGAATGGCTTTGGAGATTTTATTTATTAAAATTCTTCAATAAAATATCAACAAATTCAAAAATAAGAATTTTGGTAGATTATACATTTAAGTACTCCATTCATTTTTGTAACAACGATAAATTACCAAGACCATGCTTTAGTAGAGTCGTTTGAAGATTTTTAATTAGTTTTAAAAATCATAATTTGTCATAAGTCCCACAGTTTTGCCTAGCGTTTGGCCTATTTTACGTGAATTATTTTACCGGCTCCAGCCCTCCAACGCTCAAACCGCTCAAAAAACCATATTATTAGAAATACAAAAATTAATTTTCATACCATTTTTCCATGCTATTCATACCCCTTTATATACTTATAGCTTATACGTATTCAATAAGTCATATATGTAGGACCTTCCATGGTGCCTATAATTTATTAATCTAAGTTTAATAACGCTTGTTACCTTTTTCCAGTGTTCGTTACCATCACAGGGAAAATAACTACTTAATTATCATCTAGGTACTTATTAATCGACCTTACATAAAATATAATTTGTTTAATTTTTACATACTGATGTCTATCCTCTTCTGCACCTCCAACGGACATCTGTGATAGCTCACTGCATATAGTCATCATTCTAATTTTAGTCTTTTCGAAATATTTGTTTTTCTGTCGAAATAAAAAAGGTTATGTGATGAAGTGTCTAACAAATAATGCGTGTGAACGCTTTGAAGTTCGTTGTACAATATTGACTTCGGTGCTTATGTAAAACGGTTATGCTGCACTCACGCTAAACGCCATACAAGCGGCGAAGATACCCGCAGAAGCAGCGCCGTGATCGATCATTTGCGAATTCGGGTCGAGCCCCAGGGCTGACGTGTGGTTCACAATGACGCCATTTTTCATATGTTTGGAAGCCAGTATGATTCCACGAATTTTAGTTTTCTATTGTTAAATCGCAAAATCTAGTTGTAATACACATTTAAATTACAAAATATAGCGCGACACTCGGGGGGGATATGTACGGTTGGCGACACTGTTTAAATGCCACTCCGGGCCGCCGACAGGATGCAGTCCAGCAGCTGCAGCCGAGTGTCGTTCTCTCTAATTATTATGTTAGTCCCGTTTTAGTGTTAAGTTGATCTGATTATAAATGTACCTAATGGGTTATATTCTGTATTATTATTCCTCAAGAAGCGGAGCTGCGCTAAGGCCCGTTGTGCATGTATATTCTATATTTGTAAAATAACTAAGGTCTAAGATAGTTAAACGTCAAGTCTTAGTGGTGGGCCGATATTGGTAAGTGTTAACTTACCAAGTAGGTGTTAATGTATTAATGTACCAAGGTACTCACCAAGCCGCAATTATAGGTAGATATTTATCGTTGGGGGGGGGGGGGTGCATACATGTGGTACCTACAGTTAAAATATAATTTTTAAATGATCAATTTTGTAGGTATTGTCCCATAAGTAAACCTGTCCTGGTTTTGTCATCTTACTCTACCTACCTATCAAAAACAGTTAGACTTGGTACAAATAATATGAAATAATATAGTAGATTATAAATTCGAATAAATATAATTATAAATATGATTTGTTTGAAATAAACCAATGAGTCCGATTTGACTGAATGGACCTAATTGAGGTGTCTTGAGTAGGTATAAACTTTAGCGGGTGATTGAAGGATAAGAATCTTTATAAATAATTAATTTTAATAACACTTATTATTTAACGAGCGATAAAGGATGTATAAAAGTGAATTAAAAAAAAAGGAATTTACAATTTAGAATTTTGTGAAGATATTAACTACTCATTAGGTACTGTATTAAAGAAAGTGCATTAGAAAATTTAAATCAAACCAATAGGTTAATGTTAAGTATAGGGGGTGGGAAAGAGGCCGACCCCCTGCTCTGTATAATATAAATTTAATAATGCAGGACCATCCATGAATCTAGGACAATGATTAACTGACTCAGTCGGAATATTAATCTCGATCGAGTATTGTATTCGCATCTCGGATGTACCTTTATAATACGATTTTTATCCGTGCGACCGTTCCGCGGTCCTTCACTAGAGTACTATTAAACTATAAAAGTGATTAATGTTATAAAAGATTATTTTAAAGCTCAATACTCATTTTCTTGAAAATAATTGACGTATTTGCAGGAAATAAACAATTTTTTTCTACATAATTTGAACTCCTTAAAAACTAAATTTTTATGGTTAAAGAAGCCTTTAAAAAATCGCTTATTTAAGTATTTTGTAGGTACCTACCTGTCTAACGGGTACACAAAAAAAAAACAATGACTTTAGTATTACGTTGATCCTGCATGCTTTTATACACTCACCATATGGGTGCCGATAATATCTTTGCTTCCATGCATTTCGGCATTGTTGAAAAAAATTTGCATCGCCCCAAAGTTGTTATTTATGTATTTGAACATATCTGCGGTAAAAATTTATTACGAACCGTCATATAAATAACAGTATTATTGAAACGGAATATTAAGGTACATAATATATTAGTAAATACCTTCAAAGTCAGATTTATGACTATCGGGTGACGGATTCGTGACGTCTGTTTGACAGAAGTACGCCCTAGCTGGCCTGTAGCGTTCGTTTAGATCACGTACCGCCTCAGCTCCAGTTCGTTCATCCAAGCCGGTGATAACAACTTTCTGCAAACAATTAATCTTCATATTGTATTTGACATCATATAATATCAATACTACGCGTATTGATGGCGGGGAAACGTTAAGGTATGATACAGCGAAATCTCGTTGTTTATGGACACGGGACACCCCTTAATAGCTGCAAACACTTCTAAACTCCTATAGGTCTTCATCTAGATCATGTCCATGGGAAAATACTTATACCCCGGCAGATAGTGGACAGGGGACATTTTATTAATAAAGGACATATTTCAATTCCCCTATGGTGTCCGGTATAGAGAGGTTCTACCGTAACAATATTGTCGTTAATGTTTTCAAAATATGTAAATACACTCACTCCGGCATTCATTTTCAACAGCTCTTCTGCGAACAGAAAGCCCACACCCCTCGTCCCGTCCATGACCAGTGCGTACTTTCCTTTGACGTCCATATATTCAGCAGCAGGAGATGACGACGACGATGACGCCGACGATGACGCCGTGTTACTGTACTTCCGGATGCTGCGGAAAACAGATAGGAAGTCGGCTGACCTGTCCCAAAAGCCAGATTGACACGACTTCGAGAGAAGTCTATGTTTAAGGTTGTTAAACAGATTACATTTCCTTTACAAGGTATATAATCCACGGTCAATATAATTTAATAAAATAATATTTATATATTTTATAATTTTTATTAAATAACTAGTCACTAGGTTTTTTTGTAGAGCCTTGAAAATAATTTCAAGCTAACTTAACAAAACATCTAATAGCCCAACAAAATGTGCAAATGCAACAATTTCCGAGCACTAAAAATAAATGTAAGATGTACATGTATACTTTTTCGCTTTTTAGATTAATTTTTAAGTATTCGTAGATTCGTGTATGCTCACGTATTCAAATATTTAAAATAGTAATATGTGTAGCTGGTGATTCTAGAAAATTAATATGTGAAGCATATAATATAATATAATTATAATATGGCAGTCTGTGTGCGTGAAACGAACGGCTGCACACGAAGGTGTTGTGTTCCGTGGGTTTTTGTGATGGGTCGATGTACCTATATATATATTATATGTGTGTATATTCACTGGCACACTGCACATGTATATAATTCGTATATTTTAATTAATATTCAAATTTTATTCAGATCGATATACATATAAGTTTAATACTGGATGATGGATGATACGTTTAACTATTGTATTTTATGAGTAGAATTTTGAGTTGAAAAAAAAATATTCGTATGTAGGATATTATTTAGGTAAAATAATATCAAATTTTGAAAATCACAAAATGCCTGAGAAAATTAATTTATCATGTTAAATAGATCACTCTTTAGGGGTACAAGGCCGTATACAAATACCTGACTAATATATACTTAACTTAATTATATTATTTATATATGTCTTAATTCTTTTTAACTTGAACTTTTAAACATATATGTCTTACTTTAATAATGTCTGCATTCTATTTCGAAAGATATTTGTGAATGGAATCATCTTTTTAAGAAAAATCGAATATTTTTGTAGTGTAATTGGCAATATATACTAATATTGAATCGAAAAATGCATAGTTATGAAATTATAAATATTTGTTGCCAGGTAAGATAAAAATAATTCTAAAATTCTAAAAAAAGTACTAATAATGTCACGTGTAAATATTTAAAATCATGATAAGTTTTAAGTAAGAACTAGCGTCCATAAGCGAATCTTAGATAAATGTAATATAACGAATAAATGAAAACGGGGAGACTATTGACCGTTCATCTGATGACTTTTTTTTAATACCACTCCGCGGAAGGGAATTTTAAATACGCCACTGATTATAATAAGTATAAATCTCTATTATAGAGATTATATAATATAATATAATATTAGGTATATAATTATCTCTACCATATAATATGGTACTAATGTTAAGTATTTATAATGTATTAAGGTAATAATATAGGTAATGATTAAAATTAAATCTTTTAATTTTATAAACGTTAATAGTTACCTATAGTGACAATAGTAGTTTATCCATTGGTCATTATATTCACCTAGGGATACATAATTGTATGCTATACTTAACAATGAGAGAAGCACGTTAAATATAAAAAGATAAAACGATATACATAGTTGGCTTATATTTTTGTTATCACTTTAGATTGTTTTAAGTTTAAAACTATTAAACGTTTTTAATTTTATTACAGCAACGTAATAGATGTGTTACTATATATTATATAACATATTTACTATATAGACGACATTTTTACCGTATAATATTTGTAAAATATTTTATTAGATACTAAACTTTATACTATGATTTTTTTTTAGCATATCTTTACGTTTTTAAATATATAACTTACTATAATATGTCTTTATAATTGTATACAAGAAGTTATTAAAACTAATTTTTTTATGATCGGGATTTAAATTTAATTAAAAAAGTTCCTTAAAAGTTTAAAGTAATTATAACATTGTTTGCTCTTCATCAGATTTTTTAGATATGTATTTTATAGTATCATATACATAGGCAAATACATTTTTCATTTATAATTTTAGGTTAAGGCGTACATTTAAGAATAATTAAAATTTATTTACTATTTAATACGTTGTGAGAATACATAGCTATACATATTATACACTATTTACCTTCCCAGTCACTGCAATGTCGTTTAAATAATATTAAAAGTGTATTTTTTATAACAAATAACAAGTATAATTTTTTTTCTAATAGAGCAATTGATATGGATTCATTTAATGTGCTAAGTAAAATTTCATGATACATATTTTGAGCCCCTAAACGAAATAAAATAAGTACATTTCTAATAAAAATAATTATTCAATTAGCTATAGTATTGTGCTAATGAGGTAGACATAGTAATACAAATACATATGTTTATATTTTTACGATTTTTTTTCACGAATCAAATATAATACAAGGTCCATAAATTTAATCAAATAATTATAAATATTTTTTTCTAATACATACAAAATCAGTATTTACTATAATGGGCAGTTCCCAATTTCGGAAATAACAGTTTGGGATTGTCTTACCGTAATATTTTCGATCGATTTTCTTTTTGAGGTAGTTCTGATAACTTGACGCAAAATTTGTTTTGTCTCTTAATCGTTATGCTCTAGTTTGATTCACTTGTTAAATAGAAAAAATAGTGACAAGTATACATACCAAATTAACGGTTTTGATGTACGTACCAGTTTGTAGATTAGGGGAAATTGAAGGGGAAATTGTGTATATTTTTGTTGTACATTTTTTCTTGGCAAATCGCCAACGAGTTAGGTTAGGTTAGGTTAACATTAACTCTATTGAGAAAAAGAAAATTTATAATTATTAAAAATTAATCATTTATTTTCTCTCTCCGACTTTATAAACTCTATTTTACACGTATATCCACATATACCTAATACTAAACGTGGATCGTATAGTTTGCAATCAACTAAACGATCACAATGTTCTGTAATCTTTGTAAATTACGCTTTTAGCTATTTTGATCTATTTTATTTGATATGGCAGCCCCTGCTAAATCTTTATAATTTCATTATCTTTTGATAAGGCACGCGGTCGTTTCAAGTAAAGTTTCATGTGAACTGCAGTTTTAGGTATTGTTGTAATTTATATATGACATGTTCATTTAATAGTGGCCCAATTACTGGGTATAATGATAAAAAATCGTTGAAAATAGTGGCCCAATCACCGAGTTTTCCTGTTATAAATGTAAAACTTTAGTGTCCCAGGCTCAATCGTTTTATGCTCAATCGTGCTTTACCGCAATTACCATATACCTTTTTGAGAAAAAGGTTAATTGTGGCCCAATTCCCGGGCACCCTTATTTTTGATCATTAAATACAATTAACCAATAAAAAAAACCTTTCAGCGTCAAGTATTTGATAAGCTGCACTTTGATGTTGGGTATGTGCTCAGTGTACAGCGATTAAGTGAAATTATACAGTTTAAATTAAATCTATAAGGCACCTGTTATAGGTACTAGTTTTTATGGTAGGCACATTGCAAATGTACAATATTTTAATCATTTTATTTTAAGATTTATACACCAGTTGTGTTTTTTTTTATTAATTTGGGTGGTATATGTACATTATTTTGAATTAATTAAATTTATCGTTCAAATCTTCAATTATTTATAGGTATGTGCCCCACGAGGAGATTAAATGTAGATGATGTTTTGCCATATTTACGCCATATTTCGGTTATCATAATTATGTAATAATCCATAATAATATATAGGTGGTGACATTTGTATAGCGAAAAATAATAGATATTAAGTGTTCAATTTTCCAAATTTTAATTATAATAATCGTAATTACGATATTAGTACGTACTCGTATTCATTAAATTTGAAATTGTTGTTAGTATAGAGTCTTCCTTATTTCTTACTTCTCTTAAAACAAAAGCCATATTATATTAATTATTTTAATAGTATGTTCTTATTGGTATATTTACAAACCAGGTATAAGTCGATTATATTTGGTTCATTTAAAAGCATCAATTATTAAACCTATTATTATTTATTAGGCATATCATTTATATTGTATACCTTACATTTTTTTTTATTGGGAACTATACTTAATTTAAAATTATGGGTTCTAAAACTTCCTTTCTATCTAACATATTTCGCTTGTAACATTAAATCATTTTTTTCATATGTTTTTTATTTTATAAAAATATAATTATATTTGGTACAAATAGTACTAAAAGACTACAACTGTAAGCCCCTAGCTTTCATCCAATTTGGTCACACAACGTATATCTATAATATTAAACTTTTTTACTTTAGACTTCATTGGATTAGACTTCATGTGCAATTTTTGACGATTTAGTTTTCTACATCACTGATCGAATGTAACGAGGTAGATTCTAAATATTTAAGCTTATTGACATTTATACAGGTACGTTCAACATGAAACGAGGTATATGTAGAATCTCGAAGGGGTTTCATAAATTTATCAGATAGTCGTTTATTATAATATAGTACATATAATAATATTATAATAAGTATTTTCTGTATACCTACGTAAATTTATTTTCACCCGCTTTTCATGTTAAGTTAAAAACTTTTAACTGTGGTATTATAATTATACACGAAATATACTAAGTTTCATAAATAATTGTTTATACAAAATAGTTTTTACATTTTACTAAAAACAATCATGCATAATCTATAAGAAACAATAACTCATATTAGATAAGGCCAAAGAACGAGAGATTAGAGAAAAAGAGGACGAGTAAGGAAGAAGTAGGTATATGTTATATCTTATATTATACACAAGTATAATTAAAGTTTGTTTATCATTACATTTTAAAGTTGTAGGTACACAAGAAAATTACAAACAATTACGACTACATTAGTAAGGAACAAGAAAATAATTATATATAATAAATATAAAGTACCTACTATAAGTGACATATAAGAAGAGAACATAATATATTATAATAATAATAACTAGTATCTATAAGACAAAGCGGTTGTTAAAGTTAATGTACTCGATTAGTCGTCAGTCTGAGTATACGATCGTTGTATGATTATTAAATAAGTGGTGGCTGACTTATTTTTTCCGATGTTCACTGTATTGGTGTATTTGTGATCTGTTCTACCCACTCAATTTAATGTTAATTCAACCTTGTACCATTCCTGGGAATCGTAATCCCGTTTTATCGACCGATTTATCGGA